AACTGCTTTTACAAAAAAGAATGGTTGTTTATTTCTCTTTTAGGAAATACTGCCATAAGAGATCCTACATATTTTATTATAAGTATTTTGTAAGTAGTATTAATGAGTAAAACATTAAATAAAACATGATGTGCGTTTGCAGTGAAAAATACGAGATTGAGTGATAATTTCAAGAAAAGTTAAAGTCAAAGTAAACCTTTAAAAGAGAGAAAAAAATGTTTTAATAAAGTATGTTTTTTTCCTTTGGATCATGTGTGGTTAGCTTGTATGGATACGGATTGATGGGTATAAGCTTTGAGACGTAATGTCGCTGAACATTCCAAATTTTCAAAGACGGTGCAATTGGTCAAACAACCTTGTTGCTATAGTGGTACTGGGTGGTAGCATTCTTTCTGCATCGTTACTAGTTCATGATTTTTGAATCTAGGTGTCTCTGACATAGTCATTTAGTCTGTATGCGTAAATAATATTATTCAGATTGAAAATTTTTATTCTCTTCCATTCTTACTTTTGCTTGGATAATACACAAAAATTTGACTGTGAAACTTACCTTGTACGTTTTTTGCCATCCATCGTGTAAAATGTAGTTAAAATGTTTAGCTGGTGGTTATGAGTTCAGGAAAGAAAAGTATAACCTCTAGGAACATATTGGTTCTCTATTTGTTTATTTTAAGCATCCATACGATTACAAGGGCTTCTTATAAACAGTGATCAGATATTGTCGTTTTGAAAGATTTTAAGTTTTTTTAGGCTCTTTCACAACTGGTTTATAAGTGTAACCGTAAAGCATTATTTAAAAAAATCTACGAACAATAATTGCACTTGCCAAAATTTGACCCAATTTCACTTAGAAAGGTTTAATTAAACTGTAAATGTTCAAATTATTCCATGAAACACAGAGTGACTACCACATTGTTTGCTCTTTATTTAATGTTATACAAGTTTGGGTATATACTTTTGTTTTGGAAATATTATGCTATTCCGAGACATAATATTTTTAGGCTGCCTATTTAGTTTATAGTTGATGTATCCTATGTTATTAGACTACAATATTTAGTATTAATTTAGATAAAAAACACAATTTAAATCTCAACTAAGTAATTTTATTTAGATATTTGGGTTTTTAATACAATGGGGGAGACTGCTCATGAATCTGAGATTGAAACAAGTTTTGAAATTTTATGCATAGTGAATTAACCATATTAATAATTCAGATCCATAGGAAAGTTTATCCATAGGGGGGATCAACCGAATTATGGCGGAACTAAATATGTTAATGCTAGATATATAATCCTCTGAATATAGTAGTATGACTTGAAATATCGATACAGAGCAGCATACTTATGGTAGTATATATAGTTTTAAGAATGAACAGAACTTCTGTGTTCTTCTAACTAAAACAAGAGTTATATAAAATCAAAGTCCTTTAGTCCCTTAGGAGGCTGCTATTTGTAAGGATGCTAAAATTTGTTGTTAAAAACAGATATATGCAACAAAAACGAAACTACTATGATTTGTGTACATGTGTTTATGGGGGATATTAAACGTAATTCATTGTTCTAAAAATTATGAAAATATTCAGCATTATGATATGTATGAAATACATTTAAATTAAAATAATATAACGTACTCTTTACCAGGTGTTGCTCAAGAGACACATGAAAATTTTTGTCTTTTAATATTATGCTTATAAATCATTATTTGTCAATTTATTATTATATTAGCACAATATTCTTCCACACTCAAGTATCAAAGTATCGTTTTATATGACATTTTGATTTATTTATAACTTATGTAAATTATTTTACATCTTAACATCTCTTAATAATAATACGTTTGATTAAATGCCGTAATGTATTTTTATTCAAAGGGTCTGTATTAAAATGAACAGAAAATAAAATTATGACGTATGCTTTAAAAAACGGTAACAAATATTTTATTGAGTTCAATCTAAGGCAAAGTTTACTCCTTTCAATTAAAACCAAAGTTGATTTATATTCACGATGACAGGAAGACAGTTCTTAATATATATTAATGACATTCTAAGAACAAATATTTCTATAGTAACACATGATTAATTCCATCCAAGTGGTATGAATGGTTCCTTCAAAATATTTTTGACAGCACATAACTTCTTGAATATTAATACTCATTCGAGTCTGTGATAAATACAAATCAGTTTTAACAGCAAAAAAAAAGTTACGTATTGTAACTACAATGTATTAACTTCACATACAGACATCGTTTCAGTTATGTATACTTGGAATAAAACACTCGTATTATACTTAGAAATGAATATTCCTTGTGCCTGATCTGATTTCTTAGCTTATTAGTGTGTATAGAACTGATGAGTGGTAAGAGAGGCTTATGGGTAACGAAACCAATTCTAACCTGATCATGGTACCCAAACATTTTTAGTTGAATTGATGACGTACTAATCTACGCTCAGAGCAAGTTGGCTCTAAGCCCTGTAGCCTATGTTGTATTATAACGCTTCTATGAACCGAAAAACATACGTATATGTATAATATATGCGTATGTATAATACATACATATAGTAAACAATATTAATACTGGTTGAGAAACCTTTCATAACGATATATCTACTGAAATAAGTGAATTTGCTTTTATACTTGCTTAAACGGTTATAGGTTTAGGGAAGAAAATATTCTGATTTCTTAATGTTTATACAACAATAATCAACCTACAGTAAAATATTACGTGAACATTGTATAAACTGGAGAATAATGTCCTCCCTGTTATGTATTTTACCATAATTCTCGTCTTCAAGTTATTAACAAAACATTGATATGAAGGAAGGGCAAATTTACCCAGAATAATTTTAATTTGATGGATGATTTCTGTCAATAAATTATATACAACATTAAATGATCATATTATATTACAAAATTTGTCACATTTACTGAATGTGTATAGGTGACAATCACGGAAGCACAATAATGCCACTGTTAAACATTTTAAACAGATTTTGAGTAGTTAATTACAAATAAAAGTTCCTGGAAGATCATATATGCTAGAGAAGGGAACACAGTATCATATTTGGCGAAGTCACAATGGTGACCATAATTTTCCACTTTCATAAAGATTACACCGTATAATGAAGGTCTTTACTGACCAATTGAAGGTTCTGTTCATGTCATTTAAATTGTAATGTCAAATTATTTGACTGCTGTATTTCTACCGCGGTTGAAGCTAATAATGGATAATCTAAATGAATTACTTAAGCAACCGGAGTTAGTTTCTGTTTCGCAAAGCAAATTTCTTAATAACATGACTGAACTAATCGTCATTTCAGAAAGACTTTGTGACAATAGATGTTAGGTTTTGTCTTCAGTAATATGTCATGACCCGTAGAAACTGTCAACTCTCAACAGTTGCTTGAAATTAAACATTTTTCCAAAAACATAAAATAACGTGAAATTTGTGGATTTTGTCCAACTGAGTAACTTATCTTTCGCGAATATAAGTTTTCATTAGTATACCCAAACAAGTGATAAATGTTATCCGTTGTATGGTCAAACTGGGAAACGGCAGCGTTTCTACCAATTTTAAAAGTAATAAATATACAAGCATATATATTTATTTTTATATATTGCCATAATTTGAAGAATAAAACATCTCATGAACATACATTTGTTTACTGATATTAACTCCTACCAAAACAAGCTACCTACATACATCAAAATTAAAAATCAATCCGATAATAAATATAGCTAATTAAGCATACTGTTCTTACATTCTTACAAATAGCAGAATGCATTCCATATCAGTTATGTACTTCAACGTTAGCGATATTTTTGGCCATAAACAGAATAATATCAGATGGTGTTTGGCAGCTTAGGAGATCTGCGTTAGACCTAAATTCATAGACTAAGCTAACGCTATACAAAAATATATAATAATATAATAGAACTTTAAAAACACAAAAACAGATGTAATAGACAGTCTATCCACCACTGTTAATGAAAATAACATTAAGGAAAGACTAGAGTGTACCTTAACTGTGTTACGCAATGTTCCGAAGCACAAACGAACAACATCTTGTTTAAAGATAATAAAAAATGTTAAAATTTACAAAGGTTTATACTTCTAGTTGAAAAAAAAACACAGTAAGTTACAACAAGATTCTATAAATGAAAAATATGCAATATAAAGTTTCCTATTCATTTAGGATAAAATCACGGGCAAAATCAATAAATACCGACCAGATTATACATCATTTTCGATACTACCCTACCTAATAATATTAGTTTTATTAACTCTACATTTCGAAAGTACAAACCTTAGGTCATAATATAACATCTTAACATTTTCCATTTCAATTTATCAGTAAACAACAGTTTGAAAACAACACATACATTCACATTCCAAGCTTAATTTCAAAATAGATTATTTCAGGTAGCTCGTGAGAAACAATAACGAAACAACTGTAGTGCTGAAAGTATTCCCAAGTATTAAAAGTCTTTAAACTGACATTATAAACGATAAAAAAGTCAATAAAGTGCAAACAGAAACAATTTTAGGAATATGGTGCGTGACCATCTGTTATTTCTCGAATCATATCATATAGCTAAAAAGTCAACATTGAAAAAAATGTAATAACATATACCAACCAATTCTTTGAGTATTCTATTGTAAACCTGACAGTTCGATACATTGCTAAATTAGGTTTGAATTATAGTAAAGGTAATTTTTACAAGTTATTGCAGGACTCAATAATGAAATGTAAATTATTTTCAACTTCATCATAAGGTTCCCGGTAGGGCAGCGGTAAGTTCACGAGATTACAACTCTAAAATCCGGGGTTTAATTACCCGCGATGGACAGAATACAATTAACCATTTGTGTAGCTTAGCGTTAAAACAAGCAAAAAGAAACTAATGGCGATTTTAGGTTTGTGAAATTATTATTTTTTTATATTATTATGTAAAATGTGTTACTTTATTTACATATATTAAATCGTTTCTGATATATACTGCAGCAGTTGCAAACATATACTATTACTCCTTGCCTCGCTTAGTATTCGTCCAACTTTAGAAGACATGAATATAAATATGTTCTGCCATAGTAAGCCCTAGACAAAATAATGAAAAAACTTCTCTGGTTACATACAACGAAAAGCAGTATTATTTTAAAGAATACGAAGAAAACCATTCGGCCGAAATATGTGCCTTTGTATTTTTTTAAATTTTTATTTCTTCCTACTGTATATATTTCAACTTTATGCCACAAACTTAATATATCATTACAGCTAATGTAGTAAATCCAAAGTCAGTTGATGAAATCCACAGGGATTTGTACAACATATCGATCTTGATTCAGCATTCTAATATAAGTGTAACAAACCCAATAAACATCTTTCATAAGTGTTCTTGATGGGGAAGATCCCCCACATATACACATAGTTTCACCTTGATTTCTTAGTTAATAAAACACAACACTTAGTAATATTCCTGCAATGAGGCACAGGTATCACCCACAAGGTTTACTAAATACGATAATATCCTCATGAATATAAAATTACATTTAAGACTTTTACAGTTGGAATAGTTCAACTGACAGCCTAGAACAATGTAATAGATATATATATTTTTAGGTTCAAATTTCAGGGTATAGTAATTTCTCTGGAGAATTCTGCTCGGTGGTCTAAAAATTGTCCGTGCTGATATGGAAGCTTGACTCTCTGCACACTATCAGAAGTTTTGCTTGAGTTTTCGAGGCATTCATCTCGCGGCGTTTCTCCCTCGAGTGATGATATGACAGGACCACCGACGTAACTAAGGATCGCAGAAATACTTTCTTCGGTTAACAATGTCTTCTTCGAACCGACTTCCTATAGGAAAAATAATAAAGTGTCACGTTGTAACTTTATAAAGTTTGTATCAAATATGTACAAAGCACTAAAATATTCTTGCCAAATACTTTAGGGGGCACTGAGGCGTTAAGTACTGAATATTGATAAAATTAAATTAATTAGTCCAGGTGAGGCATGATTATGTTCTTATTTCTGGTATTGCAATTTATAACCCATTATGGACGTCCTGATGGTTATTCTGTGAAGACTTAGGCTGTTTAATTCATCAACATTAATAATATCTCTAAAATATAACTGTGTTGTTATTTTAAACAGCTTGTCCACATTAATACTTGTTCCAAAATGTCAATGTTTCAAATAAACGTTTTTAATTATAATATTTTATTATTATTTATAAATACCTGTAATCCATGTAAGATTTTGGTATTACCTGTAATAAGACTAATGCTTGCTTTAAATCTTAAATAACTAGATGAATAGCCACAAGATGGGGTTAATGTAAACTTACATAGTGAATGGTCTTCATTCAAGGAGACTGTATTTTGGAAAGGAAAAATAATTCAGAGAATAAAATGTATCAACCTTCTGCAGAAACTGGTAACATTGTAAGACAAAACATAACAGTTTATTAACATAATCCAAACGTCATTTATGTAGTATCAACAATGATGCGAAATACATTCAGTTTATCAGAAATATATCGAAACCGTTGAGTGAGATCAAAGATATTGATTGAATAAATAACTATGTGCAGTACATGCTAAGATCACACGTGAATATGCTGACCTGTAAATCGATTGAGTAGACCCTCGTCATCACTAAAAAAAGCAGCGAAACACACTATGCGAGTGTGGTGAAGAATGTGAAAGTTGCACTTGGATCTGGTAGCCCATTATTATATTCTTACATGCATTTAGGATCTAGCTACGTTTCTTATTGAAGTTCCCTACAATTTCTTTAATGTCGTCACGTTCACCTTTAGTGTTTTACTAGTATTCTTTTGGCATATTAGGTAATAGTTATTCCTTCAAATATGCTCCATTAATATCTCATACAACAACTAAACCTGTTTTTAGATAAATTCTTGTTTTACATTAAAAAGATAATTTATTTGTTCTTAAAACAGCAGAAATTGTTTTATGACCTCAACCTTATCAATAATAATTGTTAAAATAAAATGCTAAAATAGGATCACAAAAATAATTATATGACAGAAAAGATAGGAAAGTTATCTCAAAACTAATAAGATGGATAAAGCTTTTAGGACTTTTTGAGAGACATAATTATTTAAATGTAAAACAGATCCAAAATGAAAACGGTACCCATATGATAGACATATTAAGTAGAAAATGAGGATAAACATGACGTAAAAAGAGGAAATTAAATTTTTATTTTATAAGTTTGAGAAATTTCCATAGAGTAAATTTTTATATGTTTATCATTGATATTACTAATTAACAATATAAATATATTTAAAAAGGTGGACATTCTTACATGCATTTTCTTAAATTTACTATACGTATTTTAGTTTAAGAAATGTGACCTAGTATTTCCCAACAAAAAATCGAAGTTTATAAGAATACCCAACTTATAACTATGAGTCATTAGTTAAAATATTCCTATTCAATATTTGATGAAAATAAAAATGTTAAACTGGCGTGGTTAAATTATTATTGCGTATGGACTGTGAATCCGAGAGCTTAAGGCCCGTATTCCGTTGCCACAAAAATGCTCTTTTTTCTTTGGCACCGCGAGTGTGCATATAAAAGTGATGGTCAAATCTAACTATTCTGTCAAACAAGTGTAGTCCAAGAGAGTGGTGATGTCTGTTGACTAGTTGTTGTACTTCTAATGTTTTAGTCAAAATCAAGGACTTCTTATGTGCAAATAGCTCTTGTGTAGATGTGTGCGATAATTCTAAAATGTTTATAAGCTACTTTTCTCATTTCTTTGAGGGATAAGTTGAGCTAATCAATTTAATATTTTACAAGGGCTACAGAATCAATCCTAAGTGCTCCATGCTATTGCGACCAATTTTCATTTACACGCAAACTTCTTTTACTCTTTTAACATGTGTAACTAACGGCAATGTTGTATACAATTCAAAAAGACATAACTATCACTTTTATGCAAAATTTTACTAGCACTTCCATTGCTTAATATAACTTCTCCATTTGTCCACAGCCATAACATGAACATTATTAATTTTCTAACAATTTCATTTCATACTTTTCAACAATTACTGAAAAGTTCTTGAAAGCAATCTTAGGTTAACTGAGTAGAAATAATTGTACTTTAGAAATTAGAAACTTTATTTTTATAAAATTGCTAATATCAACTTTTTACAAGTAAATTAAAAATTCGATGCTACAGTAGTGATAAATTATATTTTACCTATAACATGAGAGCGCTAAAAGGGGAATAAATAAATTGTTAATGTATCTTGCAAAGTATATACGTCTAGGTTTAAAGACTACAGTTCATATTATTTACTTTAGAATGAGTAAAGCTTAAAACTTGTAATTTATGGTATATTTCATTGCCGTATAAGAAAAGGAAGGTTAGCAAGATTAGTGACCAAAAGTCAATGTCAGAGTCAATATTTGTTTAGCATCTTGTTTAAATACAAAAATAAAATTAAATTCTGGCCAATGGGGTCAACAGAAAGAAAATGGCTATAGCTACGTTTTGTCATGAGAGGTGGCTCTTGTGTACAGAAAAAAACATTTTTTATATAGGCAACTACGATGATTATAAAAATTATTTTAGCATGTTTGACTATTTTAAATATAAGTTAGTTGTGTTAAGATAATAATTCTATTTTAATATGTGTACTTTTTGCATTATTATTTCATAAGAAATGGAATCTACTACTGTAAATGTAAAAAAATTCGTCAAACTTCCTAATCACACAGTTCTGAGTGTTCAAAATAGTTTTGAACATAAATAAAAACATGATTATACTGTATTTAATTATATGCCAAAATATCTAAGCAACACAAATTGAGGAGTGATTGAAATATAAGAATCAATAAACCTATGTGAGCATAATGATACAAAACAATATAATACTTTTTGGACTTTTTTCATGTATATAACCTTGTTTTGTTTCTGTTACCTGTTGTATAACGCATAAAATGATTTTCATTTCCTGAGGATGACTTTGGGATCACTACCTATGCCCAGGTGTTATAATACTTGTTGAATATGTTACAGGTGATCCTAATAACTTAGGATCTACTTCAAGAAACGGTAAATCAAACTTACCTTTGGCTAAAAAGTTCAAACCAGCAGTGTAAATTCTACTTTAAAATATTAAAATGATTATGGTGAAATACAAAATAATATTGCTACACTAACATTAAAACAATAAATAATAACAAAAAGAGATCTGCACAAACGCAAACATAAAGTGGCCATTCATAGCGATCTTTATGGCCCCAAATCATTCCCAGATAATATTAAATACATGTGACAATTATAAAACATAGCCATACACTTGAAAGTACTTTTTTCAAATAGTACGAATTCACCTCTTATATCAAATTCGCAGTACTATATCGTTTTGCCTCATTATACTCATACAGGTGTCTTAACTTTGATTTCGTATTTCAACTCCTTCATAATTTGTATTGCTTAGATATTTCAACATTTTTTAAAGATGTATTAAAATCTAGTTAAAGTACCCAAACCTCAAAATGTAGGGGTTTAACCGGCCCGGCATGAGAGTCGCGGGTTCGAATCCCCGTCACACCAAACATGCTCGCCCTTTCAGCTATGGGGGCGTTATTATGTGACGGTCAATCGCACTATTTGTTGGTTAAAGAGTAGCCAAAGAGTTGGCAGTTGGGTGGTGATGACTAGCTGCCTTCCCTCTAGTCTTACACTGCTAAATTAGGGACGGTTAGCGCAGATAGCCCTCTTGTACCTTTGCGCGAAATTCAAAACAAACTAGGGGTTTAACATATGGTAAGTGATTAGGAAAGTCGGGGATTTCTTTTTCTAGATTTTTCAATATTGCTTCTTCAGAAATAATACCATAAAAGGTCTAAATATCTAAATAGTATAACAACCTAAAAGACAAAATTAAATATGCTGTAGTCAAACATGCTAAATCGGCTTTTTATGATAATAGACTTGGTTTGAATTTCGCGCAAAGCTACACGAAGGCTATATGCGCTAGCCATCCCTAATTTAGCAGTGAAAGACTATAGGGAAGGAAGTTAGTCATCATCACCCACCGCCAATTCTTTTACCAACGAATAGCGGGATTGAGCGCACATTATAACGCCCCTACGACTGAAAAGGCGAGAAAAGGAGAGATTCGAACCCGCGGCCCTCAGGTTGCGAGTCAAGTGCCCTAGCCACCTGGTCATGCCGGGCCAATCGCACACGCAAAAACATTTTTTTGTACAAAGCTTCCACCTGTTTTGACAAGGAAAAACATTCAAAAGGTTCGCCATTTTATTTCTGTGAACCTCATTGACCTTAAATCAGTGTCAAAAAACTATTTTTTTTTGTACACATTACAATTAGATACCATTTGGATATTGATTGTGACATTGACACTTACACAACGATCACGCCAGTCCTCCTTTCTAGACATTTAAGCCCTTTCTAAGAAACATACAAAATATAATTTTCTCAATATGCGTGTATGAAGAATTCACGGGATTAATTAAATCTGTATCTCGAGGATAAGATGTTGCTGTTGTAGAACCATAACAGTCATTTACGAATGATGACATTTAGCATGATATTTACGCTTTATTCTACTGTTAAACAAGAACTTCGCGTATTTCAGGTAAGTGATACAAAATTACTTTGCCTTATGTATTGTAATCATGTTCATACACAAGTATACAGAGAAGCAGGATATCTCACAATTAGATGAACTTGAAACAAAGCTCCAGAATACTTGAGTGCTACAGAGTAAATCTTCCAAAATGAGAAATAAATATCAAATACTAAAATACAGACGTGTATGTAGAAATCAGTTCAAAAATATGCTAGTCGAG